CACCTGGATGGCTACCTTCTACATTCACAGGGTGGGCTTCGGGCATGGACCCCAGGCGAAGTCAAGGCGATGGTTTCTAGAGCAGGCTCTAGATAAAGTTGCCTTGACCGCCGGAGGTGGTCCACGGCGATCAACGGGCTGGGCCTACGGCGGCTATCCTCAACGAGCACGAGGTGATCTTGCGATTGCCGCCGGGCGGGGTCTCCAAGTAAACTCCCGTAAGTTTCTACTAATGAGCGTTACTTGTTTGTGGTCCGCTCTACCGACCGCCACAAACGTTGGTGGACCGACTCGTTGTGCCCCTTCTACCATCGTGCTGAGCGGTCCCTCGCCAACGTGTGAGTGAATTTTGTGTGTCCCTCCCTGCCCTCCCGGGATGAGTGGGTGTTTGTGCGCGCGTGCAATTGAGCTTTAAATTCCGACTATAATTGAGCCGACTATACAACCATGGATGGCTACCTTCTACATTCACAGGGTGGGCTTCGGGCATGGACCCCAGGCGAAGTCAAGGCTAGATGGATCTGACCTCGGGGCCGATGTGACCAAGCGCTGGTAGCGTGGTTTTGGGCACCCTCTATCACAACACTACTGATCCTGGTCATTAGAGCTGCCAGGGATAGCGTCAGGAGCCGGTAGGAGTCAAAACCCCTCACATTTGAGACGACATCGTGTCCCATATACTCGTGCAACAAGCCTGTGGCGCGGTGGCCGCGCCGACTCAACGCCGCGCCCGATTTTTTTCTTTTTTCTCACCCTGAAGCGAGAGAGTCGAGAAGGGAGAGACAGCAACGAGAGTCAGATTTTCTCTCACAACACAGAGCCCATTCGCCCTTCTCATCACTGCCCTGGCGCCCACGCCTCGACCTTCTTGGGCAGCAGCTGGTCCGACAGGTCCTCTCCGTGTCCTAGGCAGCCGCGGCCGCCCTCGCCCCAGGCATAAACAGCGCCATCGACCGTGCGGGCGAAGTTGCGGTCTACTCCTGCCGACACAGCGACGACGCGCTGCCCAGCAAAGGCCTCGACCTTCTTGGGCAGCGGCTGGATCTGCTGGTCGCCGTGGCCCAGCTTGCCGTAGTCTCCGTCGCCCCAGCTCCAGACACTGCCGTCGGCGGCGAGAGCGAGGCTGTGGCCGGCTCCAGCCGACACAGCGACGACGCGCTGCCCAGCAAAGGCCTCGACCTTCTTCGGTAGCGGCTGGGTCTGCGTGTCGCCGTGGCCCAGCTGGCCAGAGACTCCACTGCCCCAGCTCCAGACGGCGCCGTCGGCGGTGATGGCGAGGCTGTGCACATCTCCAGCGGACACAGCGACGATGCGCCGCCCAGCCAAGGCCTCGATCTTCGTTGGCAGCAGCTGCTGCTGCCGGTCGCCGTGGCCCAGCTCGCCCCAGCCTCCATAGCCCCAGCTCCAGACGGCGCCGTCCGCAATGATGGCGAGGCTGTGGCGCTGCCCAGCCGACAGTGCGACGACGCGCTGGCTAGCAAAAGCCTCAATCTTCTTGGGCAGCAGCTGCTGCTGCCGGTCGCCGTGGCCCAACTGGCCAAAGGCTCCCAATCCCCAGCTCCAAACGGCGCCGTCGGCGGTGAGAGCGAGGCTGTGCTCCCCTCCCACCGACACAGCGGCGACGCGCCGGCTAGCAAAGGCTGCGATCTTCTTCGGCAGCAGCTGGTCCTGCTGGTCGCCGTGGCCCAGCTTGCCAAAGCCTCCATCGCCCCAGCTCCAGACGGCGCCGTCAGCGGTGAGGGCGAGGCTGTGCATGCTTGCTGCCGACACGCTCACGGCGCGCTCGCCGCCCAGTGGCGACGGGAGGCGCGTTGGCGTGTTGAGCTGCACCACACCCTCGCCGTGCCCAAGAATGCCCGGCATCCAGCTCTCAGCCTTCCCGCACGACGAGAGCCGCCCCTCGCTGTCAATGAAGAGGCTGTGCCGTCCGCCTGCCGCCGCCCTCGCCGGCGGGTTAAACTCGCACAGCAACGCAGCGAAGCACAGCCACCGCACGGGGCAGCCCTCGCCCTCTGGCTGCGCCGGCAGCTCGAAGCCGCGCTCTTGCGCCCACAAGCGGATGGCCTCCGCCGCGAGCGAGGCGTGGAAGAGCAGCGAGACGGCCGCGACGCGAGCGATGTCGAGGGGGCTGTCGCAGCGAGAGAGGACGCGCTCGAGGAGGTCCGTGGGGAGGTCGAGGAGGCGGGCGGGCGGCGGCGTGTCTGGCGAGGGGGCGGCGGCGGAGGAGGCGGTGGCCCCGGTGGCGAGGCGGCGCGAGCGGCGGCGCGGCGGGGCACACATGGGGAAAAGTGTTTCTCGCGCGCTCTCTCTTCGCCCAAAACCCAGCGCGCGCGTCGATTTCTTTTCGCGCGCTGTAAAGAGGGCGCCCCTTTCCGCACCTTACTTCGCGCCGCCACTCTTGGGACTTGAAGGCAGCCTCGATACACGGCGGCTGTTGCGGATGGTTCTCGGTGCGTGCGCGCACGCCCCTCTGCCTCGGGCGCGGTCTCGCGCTTGCGTGTGCAACCGGCCTACCGCGAGCGACGCACGTTTCCCGCCAACGCTCCTGTGCCACAGCACAACGCTCCTGTGGGAGGAGGCCGACCGCGGTCGCCGCTCACACCTCCCGCTGCGCGCTGCCGCCCGCGACAGGCATCCAGTGGGTTGCCGAGAAGGTTGGCAAGTGTGCAAAGATCGACGCGCGCAAGACGGCGACGAGCTACGGGCAGGGCCTGCTGGACCAGGGCTCCTCGCTCGCCGCGACAGCGAGACAGGAGTACACCAAGTCGGGCGTCGCGGCCGAGGCCCAAAAGGCGCCCACCCGCGTCATGAAGGGATTGGGCGGGGGAGGGAATGCAGCGGCACCGCCGCCGGGCGGGCCGCGAGAAGAGAGTCGACAGAGGGAGGGAGTCAGAGAGAGAGAGGGAGGTGGCATTCGCGGACGTTTCTGGGGACCTTGGCGGGCGGGCCGACGTGCGCTTCGCCGCGCGACCCGCAGGCGAAGGGGATGTTCAACTGCATCGACCAGTGCATGCCGGACTTGGACGATGCGGAGGCGCACGCGCGCAGAGACGAGAGGAGAGGAGCGGAGGAGAGGAGCGGGGAGGAGGAGGGGGAAGGGAGAGCGAGGGGAGCCGCTGCTGCTGAGAGAAGGGTCGGGAGGGTGGGGAAAGAAGGGCAGCAGCGCGTGTTGGCGGGGGGGGGGGGGTTCACGGCGAGCGAAGAGAGCAGTAGCGAGGAGCTGGCGGAAGGCGCGCCTCCCCACCGGCGGAAAGGCAGCAGAGGATCAAAGAGATGATGCCATGGGGGATGGGGCGGGAGGAACTTGAGATGGGGACGCGGTAGGGGAGGCGCGCGCGCGGGCGGGCGGGCTGGGGGGGGTTAGGGAGACCCCTGGGGAAGGGGCAGCCAAGAGCCGGTGCTGCAAGGAGTGCTGCGTCACCCACAGAGGCGGCGCACCACAGCGGCGGTGTGTGGGGCCGGCCCGGCGCGAACAGGGGAGAGATGTGGGGAGCTCAACCCCCCCCCCCCCCCTTCCCCCCTCCCCCCCCCTCCCCCCTCTCCCCGTCAGGTGACGACCTTCTCCAATGGCTGCTGCATCTGCTGCGTCTCGTCTCATCACACGCCGATGGAGTTTTCGTGCGCATGGAGAGAGAGAGAGGCCGCAGACAGACCACGCGCAGACCCCGCTACGACCCGCTTGCGCCGCCGTCCGTGCAAGAGCGAGAGAGGGAGAGAGGAGAGAAAGAGAGAGAAAGAGAGAGAGCGAGACAGAGAGAGCAGCTGGTGACTGCCGAGAGCGATCGACAGGACTGCCGAGAGCTGGAGGCTGGGGACTCCCCCCCTTCCTGCCGCAGGCTTGCGTGCGCGATAATGTGAGCGAGTTGCTGCCTGAGCTGTGCCTGAGCTCTGGTCCCCCGAGCCGGGGACTGCTTATTCGGACGCGCCGCCCTCCGCCCGCGGCCAGCCCGCGCCGCTCGCCGCTCTCGACCCGCCTCTCGCGTTGCCCCCGCGCGGAGAGCGCCGCGTCCGCTCCCCTTCGCCGGACCGAGGCTCGGCGGCACCTCCTCTCGCCGCTCTTTAGCCTAGGCGTGTTGTTGTCTCCCCCTCCCCCATGCACCCCCGGTTGAGATGCGCGTGCGCGTACACATATGTACTGTTTCGGTGTGTGCTGTCGACCCACAGTGTTTTGTGTGTGCATTCATTCTCTAATCGGAAGAGTATAGTCCCGCTGGATCTACGTGGATGTGACTTATGACCATGTGAGCTGCGAGAGGTCACGCACGCCCAGGAGCGACACAGAGCCGGCGCGGCCGCGGGCGCGCACCGCCGCGCGCCGGCGCACACGTCGCCCCATGGCGCGCGTAGCTATGATAGGGACCGCGGCCGCGGAGCCGGCGGCGGACGGGGCTGGTGCGCAAGCGCCGGCCACCGTCGTGCCGCCGGGAACGCGCCGCGGACGACCCTGTGGGATAGCAGCCATCGCGCGCACATGGAAGACTGTCTCATTGCCGCAAGAGGCTCTCGCAGGTGTGTCGCAGCTCAAGTATGAGGTCCCTGGCTACGGGACGGCGACCTTCGAGCTGAAGTCCGAGAAGGCCGCGGGTGACCGCGAGCCTGTGCAGGCGGCGGAGCGCTCGTTCATCGAGCGCACCGCGTCGCGGAAGGAGAAGCCGACGGAGGAGCAGAAGGAAGCTCGGGCCGCGGCTCGCAGGGCCAAAAAGGCCCGGCAGAAGAAGAACAACGCGTAGAAGGCTGCGGCGGCGGCTGCGAGCGAGGCCGAGCGTACGGGGCAGCGGGTTCGGCGACCTGGTGTACGCCACGGTCCCTCTGGGCTCCGTGGCGACGAAGGTCGCCCGGGACTGGCTCGCAAACGAGCTCTACGAGCCGTCCCGGCGCGGCAAAATCGATGCGGCCTGCAGGGACCGAAAGGTCGCCGACCTGATCACGGCTGCCGGCGCCTCGGCGCCGGCCGACGCCGTGTTCGGCGGCGGGTTCGCGACGGGCGAGACGCCCCGCCCGACGACCTCCGCCTCCGAGGCGGAGGAGGGCGACGGCGTCGGCGGCGATGGCGGGACCGGCACCAAGGGCTTTGACCTTTTCGGGCCGGACCCCACCCCCATGGAGGACCTCTGAGGTCCTCCCCAGTCTCACCCCACCTTACCTCTGCCCCCCCCTCCCCCCATCCCTCTGCCTCCCATAGGGCAGGATAGCACTAGCATATGCGCCTAGTGCGCACTGGGCCCACATAGATGTGACCCGCCCACTCGAGTGCGGCGCCCAGATGCTAGTGCTTGAGAGGACACCACAAACGCGGCACGGCCCGTTTTGGCTGTCTCTGCGGATATTTTGTCTTAGCACACACAGTGAGTCATTCGGAGGCATTCGATGGCCAGAGTGCGATTGTGTGTGTGCGGGAGTTGGTTTGTTCGAGCGGGTTGACGCCGCGGGGCATCACGACGTGCGTGGGCACCTCGGGCCGCTGGTAGGACCACAGCCGGGCGAGAGCCACGGCAGCGGCCAGCGAGTCGAAGTCCGTGTTGGTGTGCGTGAGCACGACATTGCACGGCTCGGCGTGGTCACCGCTTGGCTCGGCCGCGCTCTTGGCGAGCGCGCGAGCAGCGGAGGAGCGAGAAGCGCGCGAGGCGCGGCGCGTCTGGGGAGCACCTGTAGGAGCGCTCGGCAGCCAGCTCGGGCCGACCGCCCAGAATGCGAAGAGCATGGGCCCGAGGGGCTTTTTTAAAAATAATTTTAAAAGAAAACGCGGGCGCTCGCGCGCGCGCGCGCGCGCGCGCACGCCGCCAACGCGACCCGGCCTTCCTCTTCGCGCCGTGGCCATCCGCGACTGTTTCCCACACGGCGCTGCAGATATGGGCGACGCCCCAGCCAGCCTGTCGTCCTTGCCGCGGGACGTCCTCCTGAGCGTGGCCGGCGCTCCCGATGGCCTGCGGCTCCGCGTCTGCGGCGCCAACCTTGCAGCAGCCGGGTCGGCCTTGCGCAGCCGCGTCGAGCCACTCGAGCGGCTTGCTGCGCTCCGTGCTTGCTGCCGTGCACTGGCGCGACTGCTGCCTGCGCCTGACGTGCGGCTGGACCCGCGGCCTGTTGCGGTGACAGGCTTCGGTTGAGGTTGGCGCTGGCCGGAGACTCTCGCCCTCGGTGACGAGGAGGCGCTGACATTCTGTTACGAGGCCCAGTTTGCCGCAGCCGTGGACGGCGACGGACGCCCAGAGTTTCGCGGAGCGATCACCAGCAGCTCGCGCGGGCTCAGGTGGTCGATCGGACCTGACAGGCCCCTCTGCTTCCACTGCTTTCTTTGCCCCGACGGTGGGTTGGAAAGCCGACGTCCGGCCGCGGTCCAGACACCTCTGGCCAGCTTATCCGCCGGCGAGTGGTATTCCGTGTGCGTGCAGCTCTCCACGCGCGCGGTCGAGATCAGCGTCGATGGCAAGCTGCACGCGATCGCCCGCGCAGAGACTGGGCAGAGGTTCTTTCTGGACTGGCCAACGCATGCTCACCTGATGCTCGAGGCGCCAGCGCGGCGGCCCTTTGTGGCGCGGAACCTGTTTACGGCGCTCGGACTAGGGGCTTTCGAAAAAAGAAAAGCAGGCGCCGATGGCCTCCCACCGCATCGGCGCGCGCGTCGCGGGCCTCTCACCAGCGCAGCTGTGCGCCATCATCGAGGCTCAGGCGGGCGCGAGCGCCGCCGCGCTGCGCGTGGCGGAGGAGCACGCCGCACGGCTTGTGGAGCAGCCCGAGTGGGTGCTCTCCGAGGTCCTCCTCTCGCCAGACCTCGCCCCGCACATCCTCGCCCAGCTGCCGACCACGGAGCACGCCGTCAAGGGGACGTGCCGCGCGTGGCGCCGCGGCTGGAAGGAGACGCTGAAGAAGCGGGAGAGGCCGCGCCTGCACGTGATCGGCGGTGAAGACAACACTGGACGCCTCATAAGCTCGCTGGAGCGGTACGACCCGTCAACGAATGAGTGGGAGGAGGAGGCGGTGGCGCCGATGCCTTCGGCACGCACGTATGTTCGCACGGCGGTGCTCGATGGCAAGCTGTACGCGGCGGGCGGCCTTGAGGCCGACGGCGCAACTTCCAACCTGGTGGAGCGGTACGACTTGGCGACGACGTCTTGGGAGGAGGTGGCGCCGATGGTGACACCACACGAGGATCTCGCCGTGGCGGCGCTCGACGGCAAGCTGTACGCTGTGGGAGGCTACAACGACGACAGCGGCGTCCTCAGCTCCGTCGAGCGGTACGACCCTGCGGTGGGTGCGTGGGAGGCGATGGCGCCGATGGCGGAGGCGCGGTATGGTCACGCCGTGGCGGCGCTCGACGGCAAGCTGTACGCTGTGGGAGGCCGCAACATCGACGCAGTCATCCTCAGCTCAGTCGAGCGGTACGACCCTGCGGTGGGTGCATGGGAGGCGGTGGCGCCGATGACGGAGGAGCGGGACGGACTCACTGTGACGGTGCTCGACGGCAAGCTCTACGCTGTGGGCGGCTACAACAATGGCGACCTCAGCTCGGTCGAGCGGTACGACCCTGCGGTGGGTGCGTGGGAGGAGGTGGCGCCGATGGCGGAGGAGCGGGACGGACTCACTGTGACGGTGCTCGACGGCAAGCTGTACGCTGTGGGAGGCGACGGCGGCGACACTCGCCTCAGCTCAGTCGAGCGGTACGACCCGTCAGTGGGCGCGTGGGAGGCGGTGGCTCCGATGGCGGCGGCGCGGATGAAGGCTTTCGCTGTCTTGATGTAGTCGCCGCTGTAAGCGTGCTAGCAGCCCCACGGCGTGGAGTGTGCTGAAATCCTCGGCTGAGTGTGCTGCGCGTTCGTGCCCCCGCCGCTTTTCGCAGCCCTGGTGCTGGTCGTGCCAGTGTGCGTCAGATGCCTTTTTTTTCTTGTGGCAAAGAGAAAAAACAAAGAAAAATGTCAGAACTCAGATCGCGATATGTTTGTTGGAAGATAATCTTGAAATTTTAACGAACCCTGAGAAAAGAAATCCCAATGGGGCTTGGCACCGTGGCTATCATCACACATCGCGTCCCGACCCGTCGCCGACCCAGTCCCACCTCTCCTGAGTCGATGACCTCGATCAAGAACTCGCAGTGGTCCCCAGAGTGCATCCCTGACGAGTGGAAGGCGCGCAGCTCCGAGTTCGCCGCTGCGATTGGCATGGGTTCAGCTCCCGGACCCGGCGGCCGAGCCGCCGCCGTCGCCGAACGCCCTGCCTTCGTCTGGCGCACGAGCGCAGGCGCTCGCGCCTAGATCCCCGCCACCTTGGCCGTCGCCCTTTACGCCGTCTCCGCCGCCCTCTTCACCACCACCCCTCATCACCACCACCTATCACATCCGCCGCCGTCGCCGCTGTCGCCGCGCCCGCACTCGTACATCTTCCTACAGTATCGAAATCGACATGCATCGCCGCCACCCTACGACCGCCGCCGCCGCCTCCCTCGCCGGCCCGGCCTCGCCTCCTCCGGCCTCGCCCCCTCCCTCCTCGCCCCCTCGACCCTCGTACACCCCACCTCCTCGCCGCCTGACCCTCCCCCCTTCCTTGGCCGCTCGCCAGGCGGCAGAGAGACCTTGGGCTTCGTCGAGCTGCACGAGAAGGCGGCCGCGCTCGCGTCCCAGCTGCGAGCCGCCGCGGAGCTCTCCGATTCGCTGCTCGCCGGCGCGTACACCGTCGGCATCGTCCTCCCCCGCTCGCCGGCGCTGCCGCTCGCGCAGCTGGCGTGCTTCAAGGCCGGTGCGACATTTGTGCAGCTCGACCCGGCGTGGCCGACGCCGCGCAAGGTCGCCATCCTCGAGGAGGCCGGCGTCACCGCCGTCGTCGCCGTCGACTTCTCCCTCCCGCTCCGGTGCTCGCTCACCGCCGTGGTGACCAGGCGACAACATCTCCCCACATCTCCCCAAT